TGATAAGCTAATTGAATATACAGCGATCACCCCACTTTGTAGGTGGTCTGTGCAGCCAGCCATGGGCTGACGCTCAGCCGACACTCCCACGTTTGCCAGAGCGTGCTGGGATTTGCGATACACATCAAGGGAAAATAAAATAAATAAATAAAACAAAGAGGAGAAATCACAGCCTCGCACGAGAAGCAAGAAGCTTTTGTTTGCCAAGACATCCCCACATGGCCCATCTCCAACAGGAGACGGCGCAGACACGGGTCTCATGGGGACGGACGTGGCGAGCGCATTGATGCTGCAGCCTCAAGCACAACCCCACGGCTGACGCGGCAGCGTGAGGATGGCTGCACGTGCGATTTGGGAAGCCGACACTTTCTAACAGCATTTGCCTCACAGCCTAGGGAGCATCTCCAGGAGCTTTTCTCGCCTGCTTTGCTCCGAGCACAGGTCGGAACAGATGTATTTTACAAGCTGCTCTGTCCTCCTTGCTCAAAACCCCGCTGCTTTCACTCCCACATCAGCTGGAGCCGTGGCTTTTCCCCTGTGCCCGGAGGTGTGCGCAGTACCTGACATTTAATGCCTGCCAAGCTGCAGCTGCAGGTCTCCGGGTCGCAGACCTCCCGGCAGTCACAGCCGCAGTCCTCCCGGGACAGGCGGATGTTGTGCAGCTCCCGCTTCTCCTCCTTGTCGATCTTCTTCACCCCCACAGCTTTCAGCAGTGCCCGTCTCTTCTTGGCGGGGTAGGGCTGGAGGAAGAAGCCGTCTTCCAGGTCCATGTTGCTGACGTCGATGTCATCATCGGAGATGTCGTCAATGGTGAGCTGGTTGGCCTCCTCAGACTCCTTCGTGCCGTTCATGGTTAGCTGTGGGGAAAAAATGGGCAAAGAATTAGGGATCTGTGGGAGTCGATAGAGCCATCAGCATCCCCATGTCAGGAGAAACAGGAAAGATCTGCCATCCGTGACAGCTGACCCCAGGACCAACATCTGTGTCAGAGCCCCCAAAGACCTGACTGACACCTGACATGTGGAGTTTGGTGTCTTTCACATCAGTTCGCAAAGGTGGAGAATTGAGCTGAAAATTCCACACCAGAACCTGTGTTTTTTGGAGACCCAAACAGGCTTCAGGACCAATGCCCTCAGAGCTCAGAGGCTCCTAATAAAAACTGGCCATTAACTACGGACATCCACCAGCCACAGACCCAGGCTCCTACTCACCTTCCATTTCAATGCTTCCAACTTTTCCTCTTTCAATTTCTCTCCGAGTTTCTCCCGGCGAACGTTTTCCTGCTCCTTTGAGAACTCCGCCAGCGTGAACTGCCGGGAGGAGCTGTGCTTGCTCACCATCCCCAGGGTACAGCCCCCACGACTAGGCACGCTGGTGAACCCCTGGCAGCGTGGGAAGTAAAACACAGTGACCCGGTCAAACTCCACATTGTTCTTCTTTAGGCGTTTGGACTTCTTCAGGATGGACGTGGCTAAAAATGGGGGAAGAGAAAAAGCACAAAGTCAGCACTGCCATCCTGCAGACGGGATAGAAATATTACAAATAGGCTGTAAATATTACAAACAGGCAGGATCTGCAATTACTCTCTCAATAGTGGTGGGACAAGGTTACAACATTGCTTGACGGCTTCTGGTGGTTTAGGATCTAACACTTCAAAGGTGGGATGAGGATGGAGAGCAAACTAAGGCAAGTTCTGATGCATCAGCTGCTGATCAGATTCATCCAAAGAAACGGCTGCTGCTTCTCCTTCCCGCATGACTTCCTCCAGGAAACGCACATTTGCCTATTCTTTATGTGCAGCAGAGCATAGCAAACAAGCAACAAACCATCCTACACGTCTGTCCTGCTCTAAACCCGAGCATCCCTGCCCCATGTTCAGGAGCTCATGGTCTGCTCCCAGGATGCCAGAGCACCAATGCTCCAGCTTTTGTAGCAGGGCATAAAATAGCCAAAGCGGCTGTTTTTCTGGCACTTCCTTTCACCATCCACTGGGAGGAACTATGAATCTGTAGTTGATTCTCAAGAGACTCATTTGAGAGCAGCTGCAGAGATGTTAATCTTTATGCAGGTGAGCCGGGGGTAAACATGGCAATACAAGACTCTGGTTTATCTTAAACTGCTGAAACACGCTACACACCATTTAAAGTGGAGCCTCTCCAGAGATACCTCATTCTGCACATTTGCACATGCAAACGTAGCAGATGGAGGTGGATCAATCAGCCAGGACAGCTTCAGAGTCAACGAGTTTCTACGAATGATGCTGGCCACGAAAAGCAAAGCAAAACACAGTGGCGCTGGGTTATGGAGCTGCTGCTTCTGCTGCATGAGAGCTACGAACAAATTCCAGTGTGGGGGGGATTTGGTCTAATTCCCTGCTGGGGCACGGATATCATAAAGAAAATGGGAAAAACCAACTCAGAAAGGATGGGTGACTCCAATGAAGCTAGGATCCGAGCCCTGCTCTTTGGATGGCAGAGGCGCAGGCAGCCCTACGGTGAGGAGCCAACCAAAAGGACTGCCCAAAACCCAAGGGACTCAGCTGGTTTGGCTGGCCCCAAAGGCTGGGAAAGTGCAAGAGCAGACAGATAGCTGCCCCCATGTTTCACAAGTCTTGCTTGTCGAAATACAGCATTTCAGTTTCAGATAAAAAAAAAAAGCAGTGTTCACCCAGCTGCGTCAGCAGCTTCTGCTGAAGAGCTGAGGGTTTCACACTGGGCCCTGCAGTCGCTTTGATGATATCTTTGCACTGCGCGTTGCATTTTCATAATAACCTTGACTCAATCTTCTAAAACATTAGCTCTTTATCAAAAGGCAAGTTAACCACCGCAATCTTCTATCGGCTGAGCTGCTGCACTTTGGCATTTGCTTCTCCCTCCCCACACACCCCCCCTCCGAAATTGTTTTCCCATTCCTGACCCTTTTCCAATTGAGCCAGAGAATACAAAAAGTTCATTGTTTTGTCACAAAACCTGGGAAGACAAGCAAGAATGAGACTCTTTATTATTACAAGACTTCTAAAGCCTTTTCAGACCACTGCATGTTTGTGTATGTCTGCTAATAAGTGGACCTTAACTGCTATATACAGTGGGTGTTCAGTATAATTTACTAGGTTGGATTATTTCTCCTCTGTGAAGATGGTCCCCTATTGTATTATTTTATTTTTTCCTTCGCATGGCAGATAAGGGATTTTACAACCTTGTCTTCTGTGTGTTTTCCTAAAAGCTCTCCAGATTGATACTGCTAGGAAAACAAAATAGTATTTATCTGTACTAACAGCAGAGGCAATGTCAAACGTGTCATGTTCTTTGGCAAAGCACCCAACTTGTGTAGGAAATGGGTTCTGAAATGGTAATTACAGTACTGGTTAATCATTTTTAAAAAGCAGTGTTATGGGCCTTTGCTCTCTTGTTTAGTCGCTGCCTATGGAATAGCTTGACAGGGCACTGAGGGATGGTCCTACAGCACCAGCTTGGAGGCACCAGCAGCTCTTTTGGGTTTATATTCCTGGAAATTTGGACTTCAGTATAAAAGTTATAAATGCTGGGAGGAGGGGCTGAGGAAGACTACTCTGAATATGCTGGCTGATGATAAAACCAAGATAGATCTGTGTAATGACAGGGAGCTGGTGTTCTGGCCACTTCCACCCCAGAGGTGTGCTCCAAGGGGGTCTCTGCATGGACAGAGGTGAAGACCCACCACCACGCCACCAAAAAACCCGTCTGTGGGAATGTCTGACGCGGGGAAAGGGGCTGCCAGGGATACTCACGGGTGAAGCTGGGCGTTAAGGCAGAGCTGAGCTTGGGCTCCCCATGGGAGCTCTCCTCATCCGACTCCCAGCCCGAGGATGCGGAGGAGGAGAGGGGGGAGCAGGAGGAGGAGGAGCAGTAGGTGCTGTCATCTCCCAGCTCTTCGTACTTCCTTTTCAATACCCCGCTCATGGTGACACCGGAATTCTCATATAACTGGAAAACAAGGGAGAAAAGCAAGATAAAGCGAGGGAAATACAGGCAGTTTCTGGTGACGAGCAGGATGGCACTAACCCCCAGGAAGGCTTCTCCATCAGGCCCACCTGGCCATGCAGGTGTGATTCCCAAAAAGTGCTCCTCCCAAAAAACCCCAAACCTTACTACCCTCACTGTGCACACCTGCTGAATTTCTCTCCCATTTCACAATGCTATCACAGACAGCAAACTGTCCAGAAACCAATTCAATCAACACAAATGTTATCAAACAATAAGTATTACAATTTGCTTACTAATTCTTTTATGTTAACTCCTTACCCAGATCGCTTTCTATGCAGTTACAGCTTTAACGTCTTGCTAATTACAAAAATAAGCCAGTTTGCAGAGAACAATCTGTTGGCATGATTTACTTGCTACAGCCCCCTGGGGAAACAGACTTATTAAATGAAGCACTGAAATACAAATATATCAACTGTGAAGAACAGCCCTTCTCCTCACGGTGCCTTTCATAGGCAGTCCCCCATTCAATAAGCTATTCTTGTTTAGGCTGGGTTATGTATCAAGCATAGTAGCAATTAAAAACAACACAGCTAATTAAAAACAAAGGAGCTCTGTACTTGCCTAGATTCCTAAATTTCCTGCATGCTTTTCCCCTGCTCATCTTAAAGAAAAAAAGAAAAGGAAAACAAAACAAAACTAAACTAACTTTGTTGCATCTTTTAACCTTTGCTTTTATAAAGTTTGTGGGGTTTTAGTTGCCTAAAATTGCACAAAAGCTACAGGCTTTGTCCACAACAGGCTAATGGATGTCCATTTCTCCTGGCAACACTGCACCAGATGCCCCAGCTTCTGCAGATGTCACTGCTGGCTTATTCTGAAACCACTGAGCCATACCCAAACCTAAAAACCAGCCTGCTGCTGGAGGAGTCACTCACTTTGACCCCATCCCACATTTTAAAGCACAACCACGGTGGGAGAGATGCAGCCCCAGCCCGGAAACTCCCTCCAGCAAGGGGGGAGAGCCCCAGCAATGTGTGATGCTGAGCCTCAGTGACATGGGATGCTACCAGCCACCCCCTGCTTAAATAACACCAGAGGTAATACACAAAACTTAAAGCATCCCTAAAATGCAGCTGATACTGGGGCAGACACACACAGCCCCGGTGAAAGCACAGATACGGGGGTGCCAGACACCCGGCCTCCATCCCCTCCCACCAGCTGAAACTCCTCCACCAGCCAAATTTGTTATTTCTAACTGTAGCACTTTCTCACCCTCTTTTGCATGTCTGAAGGAAAGTCTCTGAAAAAGAGAAAAAAAAACAACCACCAAACCTGCTCTCCTGAGAGCCCTGAGCAGGCGGCACAGAAACCACACTGACTTCAAAACCTTGGAGCAATGGGATTTCCAAAAATCTCAACAGCGCCGTACGGCAACACGTAGCAGGACTGGAGCACATGCCGTGCCTTCAAAGCCCCGTGCCAGCCCTCATTAATGATGTTTACCAACAGCTTCCCAGGAGACAACAGTCGCCCAAAAGGTCATAAAACAAATAAATAAATCCCTGGACGAAGCAGTTCGTCTCCCCGAAGAAGTTAATCATTCACGGCAATGCACGCCTACGGGACTGCTGCACCCCCCACGCCTCCTGAAGCTGGCGGGGCTGGGGGAGAGGTGACCCCCTCCATCCCCCCTCCTCCTCCTCAGCAGCCCCACAGCTGCAGGTGGTTTTGCCAAGGAGGGGTTGTTGGGTTTCTTTGGGCCTTAATCCAAAACAGATGGGGAGAAGGTGGATTTGGCCACCCTCCAGGCCCAGCAGCACATGTCCTACCTGACACCTGGATTAACCCCTTTGCTGCCACAACACCCCAACCAGTTACCTGGCTGCAAACCTTTTATTTTTATTATTATTATTATTTTTGTGACTTCTGCTCTGTCTCACATTTGCTTTAAGAAACGACCAGGAGCAAAGAAACCCTCCAAACCTGTGGCAAGAGTCTAAATCAAAGCCTGGGCTGCAGCTGGAGGTTTGCTCATCCCCATCATTCACTCAGAGTGGCCAAAAACTTTGCAAAAAAAAATCCCACAAGTGGCTTAAAAGAGCATCAGTTTGTGCTGCAAAGCAACCGCTTGCTGCTCCAAAGGACACCTCCAATGTTCCCAGTGAAGGATACCACCGTCAAACCAAAGGAGGGAGAAACCAGTTCCCCAAAAAGCCCACAGGACACACGTCCAACAGCAAGATGCAATGTTGACCACATCCAAGCCCCTCAGGAGACAGCAGAGGGTGGTGGAGCAGCCAAGATCACACAGGGATAAACTCCCAGGTCTGGATCAAAAAAATACGCCATGTGGCATCCATTTCTCCCAGTTTTTAACTGGTTTGTGGTCCCAGAGGAGCAAGGAGGTGGACATCGTGATTGCAGCCCTGATGCTTGGGTCGCCTGCAAACCCAACAGTGCCCATCACCCCAAAACCACACAACAAGAGAAAGCCGACGTGTTTTCCTCAAGCGAGCTAACCGAATTAACACAAGCACCAAGCCAGAGCCAAGGCAAGCTCTGTGTAACACGGCGCAATTTCATTTCTTTATTTTTTAAAATACTATCGGTGCTGATTAGCCACGTCTGGCAGAAGGATGAAGGGAGGTGTGTGCATCTCCTGTATATAAGAATAAGCCAAATGCATAGGGAAAAAAACCCAACAATACAAACCACCTTTGGCATGCTGTCTTATTCAAAACACCTATTGTTTTGTTAATCCAAAGTAGGTGTCGTGCAAACATGATTCTCAATTAATGGGAAAAAGCTGGTGAACCTGTTGCCCACCAAGCCAAAACACATTAATTTTCTCCCGTAACGCCTTCCCCCTCTTTGCTGATTTATGGCTGCGACGTTTTCCAGGTCAAGTTTTCAAATCCTGCTCAGGAGCTGTATGTGATGTAGCAGGGCTGCACCCATGGGTGTCTGCTTGTTCCCACCCCCAAAAAACCCTGGGTGTCACTGTCAAGGCAAAGCTGGTTCTCCCCTCCCCTCCTCATCCCAGCACTTGAGAGCTGAATTCCCACCAGGGACTGGGATGCTGCCTTGAAAGCCAAAACCGCTGGCTCAGCCAAAAAAACCCAGAGGCCAATTCAGACACAGTGAGGATATTTTAATTGCAGCAATTCCGCCAGTAATCTTAAATCCACATTTATGTCTTGCATAGAAGTCGCAAAAATGTGCACAGCAGCATGAAAAAAAAATATATACACGTATCTGTGCTTGCTGTTGCAAATCTCTGCAGGCACCAAGCACAGGATTTTACCACCTTCTCCCTCTTTTTTTTTTTTTTACATAACCTGAAATAAAATAATCCCATCTTCCTTTTAGTTGCCAAAAAAGACATTCTGTTCTTGGCTAAGACTTCTTACTCATCTATTTTACTGAAAACAGCTTTTGGAACAAGTACATAATGCAATGGATCAAACCCGCAGGAATTCCTCTCTGGCACCAGAACTCCCACTATCCTGGGAATACTTTCTAACAAATATTTAGCCCAGATGTGCATTCCTTTCTTTTTCTCTCCCTCCTTTTTTTTTTTTTTTTTTTAAGCATTAAAGTTTGGGGGGTGGGGTGGGGGGTTGCTGTCTACTTGGGGGGAAGGGAATCGAAGCTGCAAAGTCCCATTTCTGGTGCCCGGCGAGTCGCAGGGCAAAGCCCTAATACACTGGAATGCGAGGAATTAATGTTTTAACTATCCTCCTCTTGGACGACGTCTCAACAGTAAATATTTCGAGTAATTTAGATTTAAGAAGGTTTGGCATTTGTTTAGCCAAGCGTGGGGAAAGGCAACTAAAATCCCTACCGGTGTCCACTTTGTCTATTTGTAGGACACTGCACAAAGAGGCATCGTGGCTTTGTGTGCAAGGATGCCGAGAAGGTGTTTCAGCTCCTTATTTTGGGATAATTTTATTATTGCTGTACCTGGGCTTTGCAATGCAAGTGAGGCAAAGGAAACTGCTCCCAAAGAGCGCAGCTTGTGCCACAACTCCCACGGTATTGCAGGGGAACACCTATGCATAAATACCTAAGGGTATTTTAAATTTGGGGGTTTCCGTTGGTGGAGCATCCCAAAGGATGGAAGGATTCCAAATCTCTGCAGACTTTCTTCTGCAAAGTAATTTAGGTAAAAAACACAAACAAACAAACCAAAGAAACCCAAACCCCAGTGCAACGCACTAAAAGTATTTATTTTCCAGTGACTTTTTGCAATGGTTTCCTGACTTTACAAGCACAGCCAAGGTGGACCCTTCCTGGCACACCGGGACCAGGGCTCGGGAGCGAGTTCACAGCTCTGGGGAGCCGTGAGTCAGAGCGGCTCCTGCACCCTCCTCCAGAGCCACAGTGGCTGTGCAGGTCGAGCAGGAGTAAATATTAGTTTAAAAAACACCACCGCATATTTTAGCCAGGTACGGCTCCCAGCGCGACTCATGGAGCAAACCTGGAGGAATTTTGGAGGTCGGTGTTTACGTGCACGCTGTTTATTGCGGACCAGGGGACCTCGGTGCGAGTATCCCCAAAAACTGGTGCGGAGCTGAGCTTCCCATTCAGCTATCCCAGATATTTGAAGTCTAACAGCCGCGGTGATTCCAGTACTGCCTCTGGGTTACTTAATAATCTCCGCACTATCAACACCGATTCATTGCCCGTTCATTTAACTATTTTAATTCTTTGCATATTTACTTAAGTGGTTTCCTCAGCGCCGCTGTGACAGCCTCCACCGTGACACCACTTCCCAATTTCAGGGCAGAGCGGGGGCCAAGGCGAGCGGGATCATCCCATCAGGACCCTCTGGGGGACGGTCTCGCGCGTGTTCCCAGCCGTGCACGCTGTGCTTTCCAGTTCAGACCAGATTATTTTCACCCAGCTGGGTCTAAGGTTTCATAACCTTGCTCCAGTTAAAAATAGCCTCTGCCTACGATGCAACAGCAAAACCC